GCCTGTGTCCAGTGCCGATCGATAAAAAACGAGCTGATTGATTGACGTCCCTCCCCCTACTCTCTCAATATGTAATCGGGTGGCGCCGATCGACTCCAGTCTGCGGCTGCATTCGCGTCTATAGCCCTGGAGCACTGTTGCACTTGTAGCGCGTCGTCGCGAATTTTGAGCGCTGCCTAAGCGCGGAATATGCTTTCAAGTTGGTTCTTTTCTAATTTGCAAGAATACGAGCTTAACTTTCCGGAGTTTTGAGGGTGTGCAATATTGGGGGAGGGGGCTTTTGAAATCTATATATTACTTTCAAGAGTAATTATCCTATAATATTCTCATTTCATTATAATTAGTTTCGTGTTTCCTTACGTAATGTTGTACGTCTTGTCGAACTCGTAGCGCTCATAGGAGCTGGATGTTCTGGAGCGCGGCGGGAGCAGCGCAGATCATAAGCGATCTTTTCGTCGTACCAATCGGGAAGATCACTCGGATTCTGCCGCTCTACTCGATCTGCCAAGAACGTCGTCCTCGCGTGGAAAAAAGAAGGCGCGTTACGGTGCACTTTTTGAAGTGGAACATTTACAAACGTTTCGGTGGTGCATTGGTAGTTTTTTAATGAATGAAGGTTTGCGTCCCGCGATCAGATCCTTAACGCTCTCAGATGTTTTGAAGTTTGAAGTTGCCATCGAAGGAACCTCAAGTGTTGAACTTGAAGGCACACTGTGCAGTTAACTAAGGGGTGGATCTTTTTTCTTTTTCCCATATTGGGCATATCCGTAGACTGTAGAGATGAAGCACTCCCGCAACATGAAAAATTGTGAGGATGAAGCTGGAGGCTTGTGATAGTTTGATGTTTCTATGAAGTCCGCCCTTTTTTGTTATGTACGCTACGGAGTGGTGGGCAGATACAGCAGGAGCATCAAGTCATCACGAGTTCGTTTCATGTGAAGCTGATTCACATTTCAATAGAAGATATTCCTGCCCAGGTGCCACCTTGAAACCATGTATTTGTTCCTCTTCAATTTTGTCCGCTTTTGAATGATTAAGGACATGAAGGCCCCCACAGTAGCGTTTCATTTTTTCCATTCACAGTAATGTAGAACTGAACGAAACGTTGCCTGGTTGAAAAGCTGCTCACAGTGACGAGCGTCAGAATGCATCCCAGGCAACGTCTCCATCTGCACTCAATCCTGGTTTCCTCTTTTTCGCTAATTGCACTGCTCATCTTTGCATGAACATAATCGCACGCTTTCCAATTTCAAACCAAAACTTTAATGGGTTATGATTATCTGTCCATTTTCATTTGTTATGGCTTCATACTAGCATGTATCCCCTTTCGAAAGAGCTCTTGTTGTGGTTTTTTTATTTGCTTGGAATGCTTAGTGCTTCGGGGAATGTCTCAAGACTTAAAGTCACACATCACAATGACGATATGGATGATGCCAAGAGCGGAGACGGTCACCCTCCTGTCTTTCGCAATGACGCCCACCTCCTAAGGTAGCGTTCATACTTTTGCGGCAGCGCCCACCAGCACGCCAACGTCTTGAGGGACTAGAGATGTCTACATATCGATCTGCGAATGTCAGCGTCCACCAGTCTTTTCGCGGGAAGTTTCGCTCAATTTCAAAAGTGCAAGCGAAAATGCCTGTTGTACGCTCAGGGCACATCTTGTTGGGGAATCCCCAATAGGGGGTCGTATTTGGCCGCCAGGAGAGGGGGGGGGTCGTATTTGGGCTGGAAAAATTTATTTTGATAGTTGATTTTTCTCGCTTCACGGACGTTGTAAAAGGGGGTCGTACTTGGTCATTGTTGGGAGGGGGGGGGGGTCGTATTTACGTTTTGGCGTTGTAGGAGTGGTGGTTGACTTTTCGTGATTTTCCTGTGGTAAACGCTAGCGCTCACTGGATCGATATCTATATTTCTTGAATACAGTGTTAGTCGCTGGAAACGCTGTCGTAGATGGACGATGGTGGACCTGGTGGACGCAGCCGCAAAGTAAAACGCAGCCTAATTACTTGGCGTTCTCTCGAAAAGGGTTAAATGTAATCCCGTTCGCTGCGAATTGTAGAGCGCTCAGCATCGGCAGAGAAAAGGACTGTGTGCACCGGTCGCGAAGATCTGCAAAACCAAACTATTGCGCCAAAGAATCTCTGGATCAATACGTATCAAACACCTGCGTCGGTTTACGTCGGGGAATACCAGGGTCCAAGGCTGGGAACAGTGCCCGAACAAGTTCACTCCACTTAAGAAGCCAAATAGCTGGCCATCCCCGCCCATGTTGTCTTCCATACGATCAGCGTGGACTGTGCTTTTAATCAAGATCATGGTTGCTGCTAGGGCCATGTCAGTGTACGTGGCGTTCTTTCGCTAACAAACGAGACATTCCCCTTCCAACCTATACAGTTCTCTTTTTCTAGTGTTTTCTTTACAGCCAATACTCACCAAAGAAGAAGAAGAGCGTATATTCGCTGAATACCACTATACAGGAGCAACAACAAATATTCATCCTTTGTTGTCTTCACTGATCAATTACACCCATCCAGTGAAGTTCAGTGGATTCGATGTTGCGGAAGGTGAGTTCCAAAGAATGCTCAAGAAATTTCATAATCAGTTGCTAGAGGTTTTCTGTGGGCTTGTTTGATGGACACGGGCTGCAGTCTGGGACTTGTCACGCGCGGCGGAAGAGGCCTTGCAGGCGGTGTCGCGTGGGCGACATTCGCACCAGCATCACCGTTCATTGGGGCAACACTAGAGCTCGTCAAGTCAAGTAGCTAGGGAATCCACTGCTCTCTGGGATTCGTAGTAATTGAGAATCTTTCGCCTGTACCAGTTACTCGGTAATATAGGGAGTATGGGGATGCGTAGTATTGCGAGAAGGATGCGATCAGTAATTCCTTCTTACAAGATTTTTATGTCTCGCAGCAATTTTTGGGTAGTTCTAGCGTAGTAGGGGAGGGCGGTTGGGGAAGGAATGAGAGAGCGCTACTATTCCTGCTTGTCTATATCCCTTTCGAGCTAGCTTTGTGCCTCCTAAGTCGGTTCAGCCATGAAGAGCACAAGTTTCCTATCGATTGTTGCCGCTTCGGGCGTTCGAGTTGTGGGAAAGTGTGGCGCCACGCCAAGATCCATGCTTGCACGCCTCGGCGGACTTCACTGGTAACGACTGCAGTCTCGTCGCGCATGTGCGCCCTCCCCCCCCCTCTCATAGAATTGGACGGAATTGTTCTAAAATGTTTCTAGTTGTAGATGAAAATTTGAGTTTGATCTCTAAAATGAATCCGTGATGTACGATTGTTAAGAAAGTTTTCTTTTACAAAAAATACAAAAAAATTCCAGGTAACAATCTACATTTCCATATGTCCTCCTTCTCCGAGTCGACTGGTCTTGGCTATTTGAAGCAATGTGCCCCAGAGTTTGTGAATTATAACAAGCGCCAACTGAGCAGGATATATCCGAAAGGAGCGAGGGTGGATTCGAGTAACTTTCTGCCTCAGGTAACATTGCTGTGGAAAATTCAGTCTTTGAAATGTATTGTTCTGCTCGTTAAATTACTTTTATATTCTTGACAGATCTTTTGGAATGCCGGCTGTCAAATGGTTGCCTTGAATTTCCAAACTCCGGATGTGTACATGCAGCTGAATATGGGCAAGTTCGAATACAACTGTGGATCTGGGTGAGTCAAAGAATTTCGGGTAATGTTCGGCCTTGGAAGGGGTATTTTGCACTCTTGCTAGTTCCTTTTGCTTGTTCATGCTATCTAACGGGCTTCATTTCGGTGAGACCTGTAAACTCTTGCGCAGCTGCGATTTGGTAAAGGGAACTTTGGTTACAAGAATTGACATTTTTTCACGGGGTGACCTGTACAAGCTTCGCTGACCATTTAGTGCCCCCCACCAAGAGTGCCCCACCAAGCCGAACTGCCCCAGTCTTCGTTCCTTGCGTCTTCCCAACCCAATCTATTTGAGGTAATTGGTATTTAAGGTATTTGCTGAAGCCCGATTTCATGCGACGGCCAGACAGGACATTCGATCCGTTTTCCGAATCGCCTGTAGATGGTGTGATTGCTGCGCACTGCAGTGTTCGGGTGGGTTGAGTGTTCGCACTAAATTAAGTTCAAATGTATTTCGAAATGGAAATGTTCAGGTGATTTCGGGGCAGTTCTTGACGGACAGAAAGGTTGGCACGTATGTGGAAGTCGAAATGTATGGTTTGCCCACGGATACGATCAGGAAGGAACATAAGACCAAAGTTATCCCAGCGAACGGACTGAATCCCGTTTACAGCGAGGCCCCATTCGTGTTCAGAAAGGTATTTTCTTTGCTCAGCCTAATGACATTTGGTGTTACATCGCCTTTTTCGTGTACATCTACTTCTTGATTTGAATTATTTAGCGTCATTTTCCCAAAAAAAAGTTCAACTCGCGACGTTCGGGTTGTCGAGGTGTGCGAGGGCCGTAGGCGAGATCGCTTTTTTCTTCTCGTCCACTTCCCTGAGGATACTGACTTTGAGAGTACATGATCGTTGTGGCAAGTCTTAGTACGGGGGGGGGGAGGGGAGCGTGACCTCTAGAGATGTTTTGTTGTTTGTACGGTCCCCCTGCATCACCACGCGGCAAAACTGTTTCTGATAGTTGATCCAAGGTGTTTGCTTACCCAGCCCGCTGCTCAAAAGTTACGTTGGGGGTATTCTTGCAATGATGGGTAGGTTCTAGAGGAGAGATCAGCCCTAGACCCTTTTCCTGGGGTGGACACTCTGACACTGTTACAGTTTTCGTTACGGATGAGAGGTGTCAGGGCGGCTGGGGTCTAGCGCTGTCAGCCCTTTCTCCACCAGTTGTTGAAGCAAGTATGAGGCAACAACTGGTAGAAAAATACTGATACAAGCGATATGGTACGTCTTGTCGTTTGCCAAAGGAAAAAGTTGGCTGCCGCCACACTAAATCCATTACCCGTGACACGCCCCATCATTCGCAACAAACAAGGCAGCCATATTTTTCTTCT